AATGAATTTACCGATATTTTTAATAAACGGCTTTACCAAAAAGAGACTGTTCACCCATATTTTTCCTGAAAATTTGCAGAACGACTTTACTGATATTTATTAAAAGAGCCTGTTCACGCATGATCTCTGTCCTGAAAATAGTTGGAATGAATTTACCGATATGTTTAAAAAGAGACTGTTCACGCATGATCTCTGTCCTGAAAATGTATGGATGTGACAGATGTGGAATTAGCATTTGTGAAGTAAAATAAATGAAATAGTAGGAATACCTCAACAGAGCTATTTTGTGTATTTTTACAGTACAGTAAAATACAAGCCAACAAAAAACTACTTCATTTTTATAGAAAGTTTTACATTTTGTATGTAATTGCTGAAAAGTCTGTATTGGTGAAAGGGATTTATAATCTTTAGTGTTTGATGTCAATCTTGCAGAAACTCATAATTGTTTCTTTTCTTTCAGATATATAATGGAGGTTTTCCTGAAGGAGGTTCCTGTCGTTTTCTGTGGTGTAAATTAGTGCTGTCAAATGATTATTCGCATCCAAGATAAGAATTTAAATTTACATAATATATAAATATGTGTGTGTGTACTGTGTATATTTATGTATATATGTATAAATACACATTCTGTACATAAAATAAGTAAATATAGAAGATAATTATATTTACATTTAATTTGTATACATATAAGCAAGTATTTCATACAGTATAGTCATGCATATATTTGTACACACAACAGTAAACACTTTACACACAATTATATTTTGTAAATATGAATTTTATTTCGGTTTCACGATTAATCGTTTGACAGCACTAGTTTAAATATGCTGTGTTATAAAACTCTTCTGCGGTGGAATCGAGGATCTAAACGTGAAGTCCTGAGGATCCCGAGTGGAAAATAAAGCTGAAATCAGTGGAATAAGGGAAGCTCTTCAGTAGAGTCTGATCTGTGTGGACTTTTTGACGAGCACAGAAATGAAGTAAAGCTGATCAATGATTGGGGATCTGGCGGTAGGAACGTCCAGAAATGATGCACGTTTGACTTTCTGAGCTCTTCTGCTTGCCATTGACACGTCCAGATCTTAAGGATCGTTTTGATGCGATCGATGTTGACCAATGTGTGTTTCTCAGGGTAGAAGGACCTTCGAAGGACGTACAACGTTCTGTTTGTAAAGGAGCAGGAATTGGAGGCGCACTTGTTTAATTTATTTATTATGTTGTGAGGAGATGGATGCATGTGGACTCATCTCACAAATAAACAACTGGAGAGTGTTTCAGACTGGGGACTATAGATGTATTTACATAAATATATACAAATATTACCTCACTGATGTTTAAGAAAACAAATATATGAATAATGAAATTCTAGTTTATTTTAGAGCCACTTCTGTAAATAATACAACCGATTTTTTCCTTTCGGAAGCGAAGCCCCCCAGTGCAGAACATGAATGGAAATTGTTGCTATAAATCGTTTATGCGTAATGAATAATGTTGCTGTTGTTGTTGTTTTTAAGTAAGTTATTGCTTTCAGTTGGGTTTTGTCTGTTGTCATCTGTGTAGATATATGCTATTTAAGTAATTTATAATGAACTGTAACCTGACATGGGAAGTGTTTGTATAAACTGTTTGCACACTGATGAGGATATTCTTAGTTTTTTAATGATGTTTAAGGATGCTTCAGTGTCAGTATTGTTACTAGTTCACACAATATTGTTTAATGATCAATTATTTTGTAAAATCACATGAACAATAAATACTTTTGGGGTAAAATAGTGTGAAGTAGTGTGTGCCTTTAAGTGGTGTTTTTTGTTTATCTTTTTATTTAATTTGTGTTTTTTGACAAACATTAGTGTGTTTTTATTAATTATGGTTATATCATCAATGATAATATTAGGATGTTTTGAATATTAACAATGCCAGGTGTACAGCATGGTTACTGATAATATGAGACAACTTATTTATACAAATGATATATAATACACACACACACACACACACACACACACCTAATATATAATACACACACACACACACACACACACACACACACACACACATATGTGTGTGTGTGTGTGTCTATGTATATGTATATGTATATATATATATATATATATATATATATATATATATATGTATATGAGTGTGTGCACTGTCCTTCCTACTGTGTGGTACACTGTCAAACCTTCATTCTACTCCATCTAAATGAAAGTTGACCTAGAAATTTTTCTTCTGTCTTCGTTTTCAAAGCTTTAAAATATTTAAGCTAAGAACACAAATGAATGGGATTCAGTGCTGTTTCAAAGTATTATAAAGGAGTTAGATTAAACTACTAAACCAGAGTAATCTAAAGAAATACAATAGGCTGATTACCATTTAACCCTCATTTTGTCTGCTTATTCGCAGAATTTGTGAGGAAGATGAGCTTATATCTTCATGCAAAAACTATTTGAGGATTGAGTGATTTGAGGTTTAGTAAATGCGGCTTATTTTTGGCCCGAAGCGTGAATGATGTATACAGAAATTATTAAAGACAACAGGATGGTTAAAGCATGTACATTGTAAACTGCAGTAAAATAACATTGCACCCCATTGATCATTATTATATAAACTAAACACACAGAGAAAGTCTTCAAGGTTTGCAGTGCCACAATGGTGAGATGATGATGACAATTAATGTTGGTCTCTTCAAGCGTGAGAAGATTCAGATGGTTTCTCTGTCTGTTGTATGAATTGAGCTTCAGCTCTGGATGATGTAAGTCTGCTTATTATAATGATGAGAATGAATCAACTGAGTGATGAATCATCTACTGGTGATTCCTGAATGAATCTTTTCACATTGCTCTCCAGTATTTCACACACGTCTGTGAATGTTGTAAACACCGCTCACGTGGACACACTCCAGCAAGAAGACCAAATCAGCTGAAAAATCTACCTTTAACATTATTCATGCTCACGCGCTGCAAATAATATATACAAGAACATTCGATTATTATAGCTAAATCACATATGACATTTACAGGCATAACTTAGATTAATAGG